ATTCAGCTTTATTCTCTGGCTTCACTTACCTGGCCTCAATTTCAGAAGCATGTAATTTAGCACACACTTTGTAAAAATTAGTTCTAAACATAATATTGAATATAAAATAGAAAAACATTTTTTAATTTAATTTTATTTTCAGAATTCCAATAAGAAAGTGAGAGATTTCAAGCAATAGGCACAGAAGGGTAATAAGGAGAACGAGTTAGTGGCAAAAAGGCAGCGTCTCTCTTTCAACAAAGAAAAAGAAAGGTAATTAAAAACTCCAGGAAATCTTCTGGCTTTTGGCTTGGAGGAGGCCTAGGTGTAACCTGCTTCCTTTGTCCTGAATCTGGGTTCATCCAGCACCTGTGGCCCCCACCATGCCACTGAAGTCAGACTCCCAAGAGATCGAAGTCGTACACCTGAGGTGCTCCAGCGGGAAAGTAGGTGCCACACCTGCCCTGGCCCCCAAGATTGACCCCATGGTTGGTGACGACACCACCCAAGCAACCAGTGATTGGAAGGGTCTGAGGACGACAGTGACACTGACCATTCATTCAGAACAGACAGGCCCAGATTGAGGCAGCACCTTCTGCCTCTGCCCTGAGCATCGGAGCCCTCAAACTACCACCAAGAGACAGAAAGAAGCCACAAAGCATTCAGTGCAGTGGAAATAATCGCTTTTGATGAGGCTGCCAACATTGCCCAACAGATGTAGCACCCGTTTTTAGCTAGAGAACTCTCTGGAACCATTAAAGAGATCCTGGGGACTGCGTGGTCTGTGGGCTGCAGTGTTGACGCCCGCCACCCTCATGACATCATTAGCTGACACCAACAGCACTGCAGCGAAGGCCTGGCCAGCTAAGAAATACAAAGGAAAATACTTGAATGAAAGGTTATTTGGCAACAACAACAGAAATCTCCAGGAGAAACAAAAGCACCTTTCAAAGATAAAGCCATTTAAAATGTGGCATGAATTTGAACAAGTTACTCAGCAAAAGGTAAGAGTTCATTTGTCCTACTCAATATGATCCTTCTCTTTCAAGTGGTACTGGGGTTGACTTTGAACCCACAGAGGAGAAATGAAGCCCTAAATATTATTTTGCTTCCAGTTCAAAATAATGTAAAATGAGTCTGATTGGTTTTTCACCTTCTATTGTCAGTTTTAAGACAAAGCTTGCAAGGGCACAGATACTTATAAAACATGCTAGCAACCTGGACAGTTTAAAACTAAAAGCAGAGCTAATAGCTGAAGGGTAGAAGAGAGAGAAGTGAGTGTGAGAATAATTCTATTATCATATTAGACTACGGAAAGTTGCTGGAAAAATAAAATTAAAATAATTTAGCCCTGGCCAGGTTGCTTGGTTGGTTGGAGTGTCATCCCACACACCAAGGGTTGTGCACTCAGTCCCCAGTCAGAGCACAACCCTAGGTGTGGGTTCGATCCTGGCTGGCATGTGAAAGGGAGGCAAGCGATCAATGTTTCTCTGTCTCTACCCCCCTCCCTGCTCCCCCCCGGCCCCACCTTTCTCTTCCCACCCTCTTCCTCTCTCAAATCAATAAACATATCCTCAGGTGAGGATTTTAAAAATATAAATTTAATAAAAATTTAATATTGATTATATAATGTAATACAGCATGTTAACATAGAACACATTATTATAAAGATTTTTTAAACTTTAAAGACATTTAAATGTATGAAATATAAAAATAAAGGCTGAATAGCAAACCTAAAAGAGTATACTATGTGAGTATATTTAAATAAAATTCAAAAACAAGCAAAACACATCTATGGTTTTACAAGTTAGCATAGTGCCAGCCTTTGAGGAAGGGAGGAGCTGAACGGGACCAGCGGGGCTCTGGAGAGATGGTGCTGCCACTTGATCAGTTACACAAGTGTGTTCACTCTGTGCAAATGCATTGAACTGTACTAATAATGTCTGCCCTTTCCAGTTTGTCACAGTCACAAAAACAACTTTTAACAGAACAAAAAGAAAGGGGAAGGGAAGGAAGGTGGGGGGAAATACAAGTGCTGATAAATCTGGAAGTCACAGTATAAGACTATTATTTATAAGAACTAAAACAGATACTGTTTTTACACATTACATTCATATTCTGTTCATGCTTATGACTTCTGATAGCCCTGAGCAAAGTAAGGGTTCACACTCAGACTTCTATTTAATTTGAGTAATTGGAGCTGCACACTCAATACACATCTGGTTCCTTTAAAATATGTGTTAGTTCTGGACCAATGCCACATAAATTTGATGTTTTCTTCTGGATTACTAAAAGATTAAAGCTTATCATGATTAAGCATTCAAACAAGTGAGCTGTTGGTATCTATTAAAAACAGAGCTCCAGCCCTGGCTGGTGTGACTCAGCAGGTTGAGCACAGGCCTGCAAACCAAAAGGTCGCCAGCTCGATTCCCAGTCAGGACATATGCCTGGGTCGCAGGCCAGGTCCCCAGCTGGGGGCCTGCGAGAAGCCATGGATCGATGTTTCTCTCCCTCTCTTTCTCCCTCACTTCCCCTCTCTCTAAAAATAAATAAATAAAAACCTAAAAAAGGTTTTTTAAATAGAGCTCCATTTAGGATTCCCCCTAGCTTATCACTTGTACTGGTATTAAAATTAAAAGTAGCACATCAGGGAGAGGAAGACCTAGAAAGATAAATGTAACAAATAATAAAAACAGTTCTGTAACTGCAAGAATGTTACTATAAAGGGCAGTTGCCCATCTAATTAGCAAGAATAGAAACTATATAAGTAATAGAATACAAAATATCTTTTTAATTTTGCCACAGACTGATACTATTTTTTCGCTATTTTTTGTTTCTTTGTTTTTTATTTTTTTTATAATACTGATTTAATTGATTCATCCACCGGAAATTATATTGGATGCAATGTCAACTACTAAAAATTTCTGAAAAATCAGATCTCCACAAAATCTTACAATTGAAATTTTAAATTTCTTCATCCCCTTTAATTATCACCAATCTGAAATTTAGATTCTTTTGTAGGAAGGCCCAGATTTAATATTCTATAGAATTCAACACTCCATAATTGATGAATTCAAAGGGATCCTAATCAAAAAGCCAACAACATTTTTTCTAGAAAAGAACTAATGACCTCAGTGAACACATGAAAAAGTAATCATATGTAACTAGCTATGAAAATCCTAAAAACTGAAATGTAATGTCAAAGAATCTGCCTGAATACTAGGATCTATAAAAACAGAATAAAATAGTATGGCACCATTGCCAGAAGAAACAATGAACTATATAGTCCAAGAATGTGATGGGCTTTAGATATGGCACTCAAGTCAGTGGAGAAAATGTAGATGATTTAATAAATTATGTTTAAAACACTGGGCTAACTATTTGCATTTAAAAAAAAATGCCTCCCTAACATTCCCTGGGCTTTTTCATTTTCTTATGAAAATTATATGGAAATTTACAACACATTCTTTACACTAAAATTAATTACAGATGGATCAAAATACTATACAGTCACAGGAAGTTAAGAGGGCTAAGCAGCTAACTAAATGTGTGAATCAAGCTGTATGGGAATTGTAGTGAACTAAAAAACATTCATGCTTTCCAAACTTTTTTTTTAATATGTACAAAATATCTCTGGGGCAAGCCGACATGACAGATGTCTGTAGGAGGAAATCAGGTGGGAGTTCTGGCTGACCTGTAGGCTGAGGGGAAATCAGTGTTTTAGCACACCTGAAAAGTACTGATGACATACCACTTGGGAAGCTGTGAATTAGAAAGCTACTGCTTTGTCTAACGGAGCAATAGTTCTTCATTTCTGAGTGTTTCTATACGACAATGCACGACTGATGTTGTTAAACCTTAAATTTTTCAACAGAAGATAGAAGTCTAGATTGTTATATTAAAAACATGGGCATATATACCTCTTCAGAATGCTGTGAGGGGTTAAACAAAAGCCCATCTGTTGGCCAGATCTATCCCATAGGCCACCAGCTTACAAATTCTGATTTAAATGCAAAAAAGAAAAAAAAAAAAGAAACCATTCAAGCACTGCAGAGAACACATGACATTATTTTCAGTCCTGGAGTAGGAAAGGCCTAAGCACAATCAAAACCAGAACGCATAAAGGACACGACATTTAACTACATAAAAATTTAAAACTTATGTGTAACCTAACATTATGAACAAGCCTAAAGACAGATGACAACAGTCTCCCCACCAGCCTCTAACAGAATGTGGATTGTTGCAGCCTGGGACACACGCCTTCTTCTGTGGGGGAGGAGTGTGTAGCACATTTAACAACAGTACCAGAACAACCTGGAATAAAGAGTTTCTTAAATGAACAGAGAGAGGGAGGAAGCAGGAAAACATCCAGCATGGACAGGCACCATCATCTATCATTACTCAATAAATATTCATTAAGTTTGAGTCTACACATCTCATGTTTAATATGTTTTTGGGTATCTAATAGTATTTTTTTTTAAAAACTTGATCAGTAATATTAAGAATTCTTCCTGGCTTTAAAGTGAATTATTCTTAATAACTGCTTCAGAAAGTGAATATGCACCTCTAAGTCAACACTTGTCATGTAGTATGTGCAAGAAGGCAGTTAGCTGTATGTGCAGAGTTGGATGGAAAAATGAAAGTCAGAAAATGCAATGATGACAGAATTTCCTCCTTCAAGGCTATCATGCTAAGATGGATTTCATCATAGCATTTGTTTCAGCACATTCTGAGTATGTGTACATTTTCCCAAATCAGTGCTATATGGACCAGTATCTTGAATACTAAGTTAGGATACTGATCCAATGTAATATCAACATGTTAAAGAAATGAGTTGTACTAGATTTAAAGAAAGCATGTAGCCAGTCTAACAGGTTTGACTTCATGTAGAGGAAACTAAAATTTTCACATACCAGAAAGTTCTTAAGTTGCAAAAGTAAAAAGGAGCAAATTTATTCTTTCAAAAATAGATTATAAATTTAAATATCATCTTATCTTTGAATCACAGATTTTACAGTTACCTGTTGCTGCTGCTGTTGACTCTTTGTGTAAATGCCATTGCTGCCAGTCAGTGGAAAGTGACAAGTCTATTCATCTGAAAGAGAAAGAGCTCATGAATATTAGTCCATAAGTAAATTCATAGGTACGGCTGACCTGTGAGAAATCTTACTGCAAACAAATTCAAAGTTCTCATTTGAATTAGAGAATGGTTCTTTACCAACTCCCAAGTTGCATAAATAAATCAGCTAGCAATACATTTTTAATTTTGAGGTTGCTGCTCAAAGCCATTTCAGAAAAAAAAAAAAGTGCACAAGTTTATCACAAAAAGGAGTAAAAAAAAATTAGCATTTCCCTAGTGTCTAATATGTGCCAAGCATGATGTTAAACTGTTTTAAAAATGACATTTCATGTAAACATTAAAATAAACTTGCAGTGTAGACACTAATGCCCCATTTTAGAGATTAAGAAAACTAAAACCCAGTTTTAAGTAATTTGCCTGAGATAATAGGTTGTGTCAGTGTCTGCACCAGAATCAGGAGGAAGAAAGGTAAAGTTGTCAAGAAAAAGGCAATCAACATTGATCTTTACATAAGAGTTCAACACTTAATAAAATAACAAAGCAGGCCCCAGTAAAACCCAATCTTAAGATTTTACTTCCACTCATAAAAGGTACGTAATTAATCCCCAAGGCAATTCTTGAGCATTCTCTCCTAATTGGACTGGATTTCTTTATTTTTAAATCCAACCTGGGCAGATGGCCTTCCTACTATCTTGTGTATCTCTAGAAACAACCTCTGTCTATAGTTAACACTATCAACAGCTGTTTCCTTTTCCCTTTCTTTATGTGTTTGTAAATTTACTGCACTTACCCTAACTTGCTTTAAATAGTTTCTGTTATTTCAAACATCCTTAATGCAAAGGGTATGTTACTAACTTATCTTACACAGATTTAACAAACTATTGATACAAATGGAAACTCTACATTAAACTCGTAACAATTTTAGCTGCCTGCTATGTTTAAGAGGGTGTTATACTGCTGGCTGAGGTTGAAACACTAAACATAGTCCTTCAGCTCCACTCTGTCTCCTGATAAGGTCTTTTATCTCACCCTCCATGAAATGAAAATTGCTGACTTGAAGGCTACAATGTTTCCATATGAGTAGATATCATTTGTCACTCCTCTCTCCTACCCTAAAAGAAGGAAACATGGATGCTGCAAATGTTCTAATTAAACTCACACTGGTAGATGCCTACATTTTTCAGGGTTAAACATGCTTTGAAGTTGGTCACTCCTCCAACAAGCTGTAGTGGCCCTAGGCAAGTTTCTTAAATCCTTTAACTCAAATCCCAACCTCCCCCCAAACCTATTCTCTCTCACTTTCCCTCTCTCAAACAGACTTTTACTTCTCTTTCCCCCTTTCCCTGTTTCTATCTTCCCTTCCCTTCCCTTCTCCTTCTCCCACCCCATCATTTTCTCTCTTTCCCTTTTGACCCTTCCTTCCCCTCCTCCACCCTTCGGCTCCCCTCTCGCTTTCTCCTGGCAGGCAGGGCTGGCACACAGCAAGTGATCAATGAAATATGTATTCATGCTGGCACTAACCTTCCTAATGCTGTGAGGGCTGTTGAAGAGTCTGTGATGGCAGCCTCCCACACAGCCCTCCCTGTGAAGACGCCCCACTTGCTTGCAGCCTCACACCATTCGCCCCAAGGGCCTGTTGGCATAGAGTGAGGGCAGCTTGGGTTGCTGAGGGATGCCAACTTGAAAGACTGGTCCTTAGTAAATGTTTATTCATTTACTCACTAAGCCAACAAATTATTTCCTGAGCATCTACTCTAAGCCACGTACTGAGAATAAGAGAGTGAAGGAAACAGACTTGCCATCATCTGAGTTTACAAACTACAGGAGATTAAAAAAAAAAAAAAAAGTACATAGATGTTAAATATTAAAAGGTGCTACAGAGAAAAAACAAAGTATAGAGTGCCAGAGAAGAAATAAGGCAAGGCGTTGCAATTATATATAAAGCGATCAAAGAATGTAACAACTGAACAGACTTCGAAGTGAGGAGCAAGCCGTAATCTGTAGTGAAAAATGGCCGAAGAACCCTGGTGATGAGGATGTGTCAACACAGGCTCATCAAGTGTAGCAAACACACCACTCCGGTGGAAGATGCTGATTATGGGGGAAGCTGTGCATCTGTGGGGGCAGGGAGCTCCATGGGTAATCTCCGTGCCTTCGACTCAAATTTGATGTAAACCTAAAAGCATTCCAAAAGTCTATTTTTAAAAAACATATGGTCCTAGAGACCGACACATCTGAGACTGACTGAAGGATTCAGCTGAACTCCTGGGTGCCATCACTGGCTTGTTGGGTGGTGGGTAGAGCACAACACGAAAGAGACACTTTCTGTGCGATCTGGCCCCTGGACACAGCTAGGGACTTGTCTGTGCAACTCAAATTCACAACTTTGCTGAGAGGCATGGGGCAAAGAGGCTGAGTCACCGGATTATTGACTAGCTCAGGTATGTCTCACCGAAAGACCAAATTCAGCCAACAAAAGGCTGTGAATGTGCTGATGTATGATTTGCACAGCTCCATGGAGTAGCTGTACAACTCAGGTATATGGTCAGGTTAGAATGGAGGCCTGCTGTGGTCAGGGAAGTATTATCCTCCAAGAAGGGAAATTCATATATATCTCAGTTTGGCAATTCTCCTTCAAAGAATCTTTCTTAAAAATACAGGCACAAACCTACCAGTAAGCATGCACAATAAAATATTGTTTAAAGAGGAAGAAAACTGGTAACAACCTAATACACATCAACACAGAAATGGCTAAATCCATGAGGATCTATCACAACAAGCAATGTAACATCAAAAGAACAGGTTTATCCAAATAAGATGCTTTTAAAAAAAAGCACAATGTGGGGGGAAAAAAAGCACAATGTGAGCCACATTGTTTAAAAAGAAAATGCTTCATGTTTATGTTTATGCATTACACGCTCATGCACACACACGTGTGTACACATATGCTTGCTAGTAGAAGCTTTTCTGAAAAAAGGCACCTTCTGTCCTTTATGCAATGAAGGCTTTATTACCTGTGTAAACATTTTTTCTCTAAATATGGGAGTTGGGAGAAATGTACTGGTCTATGAATATTGAAATCAGGTCTTCCTGAATTTTTCATACAGTTTTATATTATTCTCACTAAATTATTTTAAAAAATGGAATAATAAATGGTGGGGGTTAAATTAAGCCCTCCCATTAAAAGAAAAAAAGCAGTGAAGATACCAACATAGCCCTTACTTCAAAACAGAATAGTGCTGGTAGCAGGAAGAGCCTAGGTTCAAGTGAGACTGCTGACCACTTTGGGCAAATGAAGCCCTACCAGCTTCAGTGCTCCCCTGCAGATAATAGAAAATAGCCTGTTTTACAGAGTTACTAAGAAGAGAGAATTATATAATCTGGGTGAAATGCCTAGCATACTGACACATCATAGGCATTCAATACATAGCAGCTCTTGTTATTTAAGTCAGTCATGTCTACATTAAATTTTATGTAAGTGAAAGGGACTATGTTTCATTTAGAAATGTACCTCACTAGGTCTATTTAAGTGACTCTTCAAGTGTCCTTCCAGTCTCTTGTAATGCAAATTTATTCAGAAATAAAAATATTGTGTGTATCAAACTACTCTTCTCCCCCAAATAGCAGGTAAAACAGTTCAAATGAAAAAAAAAAAAAGTATTATACCACACACACATAATTACAAGGAAAGAAAAGGGGGAAGAATAAATACAAAATATGACTCAGGGTATTTTCAAATATTCTGTTCTAGGTCATTAAGTGTTTCCAAAAGCTAGCACATTCCAGGGCGCCTCCTCTCAGGAGAATTTTTTTTATGACATGTTAGATAAAGGCCTGCTTTGCAACCTACTAACTGTATGACCTCAAGAAAATACTGTTTTTCTCTCAGGTCGCAGCTTCCTCACCAGTAATATGGGGATTATTGGGGTTGCTGTAGGGTTAAATAAAATGTTTAAAATACTTTTAGCATAATGTCCAGTTCATAGTCTGCTCTCAATAAATGGTAATAGTTGTTCTGGTTATTTTTCTGCCAACCAAAGCACATGCTCTGGAGAATTCAGACATTAGAGAGGCTTTTCAACAGGACAAACAGCTAGGCAGGTCTCAAGGCCCCAAGACTGTGACCCATTTTCTAAAGGAAAATGTGAGGACAATAACTGTCTGGTGGCCCGTTATTGGTGGACTTGTCAGTAGTCCCTGGTCATATTTACTTCCCTTCCCCTTCCCGAACACATACCCTCCAGGAATCACAGTCTTTGGTAACAGGCAATGTGACAGAGGTGAGTCATGGGCCATACACTGTTTTCCTCTGAATTTTCCCAGGGGCTCCAAACTGACCAGATCGCCTACAATTCCCTTAGCTCGCCAACGCCCCAAGGGGCTCACAAGCTTAGAAATCCACAATGGAACACAATGTCCCCGCCTATCTCTTCTCCACTTCAAATATGTGTTCAACGGGGCACTGGCATTACCTCAAACCTAAACACACCCCCCGCAACTGTTCGCTCCCTCTTACCATTTGGGTCTCAGCTCAATGACATGTCCCCTGTTTCTAACAGCTTAAGGTAGCACAGCTGTGCCCGCAGCCAGACCCTCCAACCAACCCCCTCTCTATTCCGTCGTACTCCACATCAGTTAGGAATGTATTTCACTGCAAGTAACAACTGCTTAATTAACAGAGGTTTATATTTCTCCTATAGCAAGTCTAGAAGACAGTAGCTACTGGTACAGTTTCAGTTGTTCAAAGAGGCAATCAGAAACTCTGTCTCCTTCTGCCATATTCAGCACGCTGTCTTTATGTTTGTCACCTCATGGTACAAAAAGGTTGCTGCCCTAACCTGACATCTGATCTACATTCCAGACAGGAAGAAAATAAGAGGATGGTGTGGCTGTGCCTCCTTTTATCAGAAAAGAAAAATCTTTCCCCAAAACTTTGGCTATCCAAAAAAACAGAACAAGGTCACACGGCCTCAAGCTGCAGGGGAGGCAGATAAATCAGGATACAAAGTGTCATC